TAAAGGTGTTGGAGGGCCGGATCTGGCCCCCGGGCCGTATGTTTGACACTCCTGGACTAAAGCCTCAGACGGGTTTGTGATGAGGAACAGCGTCAGACCTCGGGAGCCTCGAGCGTGTGGAGCCGTGAGACTCGCTGGACTCGTACCTGTGGATCATGTTGTGCGAGTGCAGGTACGCCAGGCCCTGCAGTGCACCGTGGGTAATGGCGGCGATCTCCACTTCCTGTAGAGGCTTCTTATGGACTGCACACAGGTCAGAGGTCACAGGTCACAGGTCAGAGGGAGACGGGGGTAAACACACACATTCACACACGTGGAACACAAACGTTTTTCTCTACGATGTTATTACTTTATCTGAAATATTCCACAGTATGGCTTTAAACCTTTCTATCTCCATGGTGACCAAACCAGATGCAGTTCCAGGTCAGATCTGTGGAGAGGCGACGCCGCTCACAGTCACAGTATCTGTTTTTCAAAGTGTTTTTGAGCTCTAAAACCTGCACCTGAATAAATGTAAAGTGGAGCTGTTTAAAGTCACACTGCGGAACATTCCAGACAGAGCAGCGACGTAACCAGAGAAACAAGCAGGTGACAGACCCTCAAAAAGTTACACAGTGCAACTTTAAAGTCTAGACCACGTGTATTTCCAGATGTTTCTCTCAGGTCTGGTGTAAAACATTGAGCTGTGTGAAGTGCAGAGGTCAGAGGTCAGAGGTCAGAGGTCAGATTAAAGCGTGACTGACCTTCCAGCAGGTCAGAGGCCGAGCCCAGACAGTACTCCATCACCAACTGGAACACAGAGGGACAAATAAACATCCAAACACAACACCAGGCTTCAGGAATATTAAAGATTGTACAGAGGAGAAACGCCGCCACACACAATCGACACACACACAATCCTCCTCCGCATCGCCGAACGAGTCGCCGAACGAGTCGCCGAACGAGTCGCCGAACGAGTCACCGAACGAGTCGCCGAACGAGTCGCCGAACGAGTCGCCGAACGAGTCGCCGAACGAGTCGCCGTTGAAGTTTCCAGTTCAGACGTAATTTATCGACCAGTGCGTCTTTGGTCTTTAGATCCTTCGTCTGCTTTAGTCGCACCATCGCTGAAACGAAATCTCCAAGCATCACATTAGTTTGTCTTCAGTCCCTTTGTCCTTCTCTTTTTCTTTCATCGACCTCAAAATTGGACTTTTTGTGGTGACTTTGTTTTTTCGTGGATTCTCGTCGGCCATCGCGGCAAACTTTGTGCAAACTGCGAGGAAGCCACAGTTGGAAAAAGCCGCTCAGAGCCGCTGCGTTGGTCGAGTAAACGGCGTCTTGCGGATGTGGAATTCGGTGAGAGGCGTAAACCACGAAATCCCAGCGCGACAGCGACGCTAGAAACGTAGGGAGTTTGATTGAAAACTAATGTTTATCTGGCTCCAGGACGTCCACAGTCGACAGATTTTCATTGAGATGATCGTGAGATGATCGTGAGATGATCGCTGTCGAGGTGATCGTGTGCAAGAGACGATCGTCTGCGCGTGAGACGATCGTGCTGTGAGTGTGATCGTGTGTGCGAGTGTGATCGTGTGTGTTAGTGTGATCGTGTGTGTTAGTGTGATCGTGTGATCGGTGTGTGAATCGTGTGTGTGTTAGTGTGATCGTGTGCGTTAGTGTGATCGTGTGTGTGATCGTGTGCGTGTGATCGTGTGTGTTAGTGTGATCGTGTGTGCGTGTGATGTGTGATGTGTGTGGTGTGATCGTGTGCGTTAGTGTGATCGTGTGTGATCGTGTGATCGTGTGATCGTGTGAGTGTGATCGTGTGCGTGTGCGTGTGATCGTGTGCGTTAGTGTGATCGTGTGCGTGTGATCGTGTGTGTTAGTGTGATCGTGTGCGTGTGATCGTGTGCGTGTGATCGTGTGTGTGAGTGTGTGATCGTGTGTGTTCGTGTGATCGTGTGTGTGTGTGTGTGATCGTGTGTGTGTGTTAGTGTGATCGTGTGTGTTAGTGTGATCGTGTGTGTGTGTGATCGTGTGTGTTAGTGTGTGTGATGTGTGCGTGTGTGTGGTTAGTGTGATCGTGTGCGTGTGATGTGTGTGCGTGTGATGCGTGTGATCGTGTGTTAGTGTGATCGTGCGTGTGCGTTAGTGTGATCGTGCGTGTGATCGTGTGATCGTGTGTGTGATCGTGTGATCGTGTGTGTGTGCGTGTGATCGTGTGCGTGTGATGCGTGTGTGCGTGTGATCGTGTGCGTGTGATGTGTGTGTGTGTGCGTGTGATGTGTGTGTGTGTAGTGTGATCGTGTTGCGTGTGATCGTGTGTGCGTGTGATCGTGTGTGCGTGTGATCGGTGTGCGTGTGAGTGTGATCGTGTTAGTGTGATCGTGTGATCGGTGTGTCGTGTGATCGTGTGTGTGTGTGTGATGCGCGTGTGCGTGTGATCGTGTGTCGTGTGTGCGTGTGATCGTGTGCGTGTGATCGCGTGTGCGTGTGATCGTGTGAGTGTGTTCGTGTGATCGTGTGTGTGTGTTGATCGTGTGCGTGTGATCGTGTGCGTGTGATCGTGTGTGTGTGTGTGATCGTGTGTGTTAGTGTGATCGTGTGTGTTAGTGTGATCGTGTGTGCGTGTGATGTGTGTGTGTGAGTGTGTGATCGTGTGCGTGTGCGTGTGTGATCGTGTGCGTGTGATGCGTGCGTGTGATCGTGCGTGTGCGGTGCGTGTGATCGTGTGATCGTGTGCGTGTGTGTGATCGTGTGTGTGATCGTGTGTGCGTGTGATCGTGTGTCGTGTGATCGTGTGATCGTGTGTGTTGTGTGATCGCGTGTGCGTGTGAGTGTGTGCGTGTGCGTGTGATCGTGTGCGTGTGATGTGCGTGTGATCGTGTGTGTGATCGTGTGTGTTAGTGTGATCGTGTGTGTGTCGTGTTAGTGTGATCGTGTGTGTGTGATCGTGTGCGTGTGATCGTGTGTGTTAGTGTGATCGTGTGTGTGTGATGTGTGTGTGATCGTGTGTGTTAGTGTGATCGTGTGTGATCGTGTGATCGTTAGTGTGATCGTGTGATCGTGTGTGTGTGATCGTGTTTGTGTGTGTGTGTGTGTGCGTGTGATCGTGTGTGCGTGTGATCGTGTGCGTGTGATCGTGTGCGTGTAGTGTGATCGTGTGTGTGTGTGATCGTGTGCGTGTGATCGTGTGATCGTGTGCGTGTGTGTGATCGTGTGTGTGTGATCGTGTGCGTGTGATCGTGTGTCGTTAGTGTGATCGTGTGTGTGATCGCGTGTGTGTGATCGTGTGCGTGTGATCGTGTGCGTGTGAGTGTGATCGTGTGTGTTAGTGTGATCGTGTGTGTGTGATGCGTGTGATCGCGTGCGTGTGATCGTGTGCGTGTGATCGTGTGTGTGTGTGTGTGCGTGTGCGTGTGATCGTGTGATCGTGTGATCGTGTGCGTGTGATCGTGTGCGTTAGTGTGATCGTGTGTGCGTGTGATCGTGTGTGCGTGTGATCGTGTGCGTTAGTGTGATCGTGTGTGCGTGTGATCGTGTGCGTGTGTGATGCGTGTGATGTGTGTGTGATGCGTGTGTGCGTGTGTCGTGTGATCGCGTGCGTGTGATCGTGTGTGTTAGTGTGATCGTGTGCGTGTGATCGTGTGATCGTGTGATCGTGTGCGTGTGTGCGTGTGATCGTGTGCGTGTGATCGTGTGATCGTGTGATCGTGTTAGTGTGATCGTGTGCGTGTGATCGTGTGCGTGTGATCGTGTGATCGCGTGCGTGTGATCGTGTGCGTGTGATGCGTGTGCGTGTGATCGTGTGATCGTGGTGTGCGTGTGTGCGTGTGATCGTGCGTGTGATGTGTGCGTGTGATCGTGTGCGTGTGTGATCGTGTGCGTGTGATCGTGTTAGTGTGATCGTGTGCGTGTGATCGTGTGCGTGTGATCGCGTGCGTGTGATCGCGTGCGTGTGATCGTGTGCGTGTAGTGTGATCGTGTGTGTTAGTGTGATCGCGTGCGTGTGATCGTGTCGTGTGATCGTGTGCGTGTGATGCGTGTGATCGCGTGCGTGTGATCGTGTGCGTGTGATCGTGTGTGTGTGTGATCGTGTGATCGCGTGTGATCGTGTGCGTGTGATCGTGTGCGTGTGATCGTGTCGTGTGCGTGTGATGTGTGTGTGCGTGTGATCGTGTGCGTGTGATCGTGTGCGTGTGATCGCGTGTGTGATCGTGTGCGTGTGATCGCGTGCGTGTGATCGTGTGTGTTAGTGTGATCGTGTGATCGTGTGTGATCGTGTTAGTGTGATCGTGTGTGTGTGATCGTGTGCGTGTGATCGTGTGTGATGTGCGTGTGTGATGCGTGTGTGTGTGCGTGTGATCGTGTGCGTGTGATCGTGTGTGATCGTGTGCGTGTGACCGTGCGTGTGATCGTGTGCGAGGCTCGTATACAGACCCAGGCCGTGTGCTCTCGGAGGTAACAGCCGCGGTACTCGATGGTGTTCGGGTGACGGAGCTTCTGGAGAAACTTCACCTCTTTGATGATGTCCTGCCATTTCTACAAAACGACAAACAGAGAAAGAGTCGAGTCACACGGAGCCTGGACCAGAGCACGAAAACAAAACAGAACAAACACCAGGGGACAAGATCACCAGAAAAATCATGCTTTTAAAGCTGCACTGTGTAACTTTTTGGTCTCCCTGGAATGTTCCACAGCTCGACTTCACATTTATTCAATCTCGGGTGGTTTTAGAGTCAAAAATCCCCCCAAAAAACAGAGATTCTGACTGGGAGCGGGGTCGCCTCTCCACAGATCTGACCTGGAACAACGACAGAAAGGTTTGAGCTTTTGACGGACCAGAAAAGTTACACAATGCAGGTTTAAACGTAGATTGGACACAAAAGGGTAAAATGGTGGATGAGTTTGAAGAGAAGCTCCAAAAGGCAGAGCTTTCGTGAAAACAGAAATATGAAAATAAATAAATAAAAATTAATCTGAGGCCAAAACAGAATCACACAATTTATTTTTTACAAATACTGTTAAAATCTCATCTCAGCCCTAAACCATCACGTTCTGCTGTGATCTGAACGGTTTTCAACTCGACTCAAACTGAAACTGTTTAAATTCAGTATGAAACATTTTCAGACGTGTGCCTCTGTCTGCAGCGTGTCCTCGGGTTTGACTGCCCCAAATTTAAGACTTTTTTAAAGACCTTTTTTAGACCACTTACATGAAAATTAAGACAAACATCGCAGCCATTATGTGAGCGAAAAACACCAGATTTGATTCTAATAAAGAACGTTACCCACTGATTTAAATTTCAATTATAAAATCTCATTCAGAATTTATTTATAGTAGGAAGCATTTCTTGTAAAATGGCAAAAAATGTATTTAAAACATTCTAACAAGACCAACCAAGTCTCTGTTCAGTCTGCAGGTTTAAAGCTCAATTCAGATTTTTTTGTGAAATCTGATGTTTTTCGAGGTCGTTCACATTTCCAGTTAAATGTGACTTGTATGTGACTCCAGTGTGAACATTAAACGGTCCAAAAGTGTCCCACATGTGACACTGGAGACACGACGACGTCAACCGCAGCGAGCGTCTCTGTGTTTACACAAGTTGAACAAACATGGACGCAGCATCGAGCACCTGGAGATTTTAAAGTTCCTCTCGTACCGGAGCCACAACATGAACAACTGACTTGTTTTAAGGAGGAGATTGAGAAGGAGAAGGAGCAGGTTTTTGGTGGTGGTGTTTTGTGGTGAGTGGAGATGTGCTTCACTTCAGTCACATGGATCATGAACAGTTTTCTCTACTTCAGTGCAGAATAGTGACGTTTGTGTCTTGTTGATGACGTGTAGGTGGATGAATGTGACCTGACTGTTCACACTCAAGTCACATGTTAAAGATCAGATATGGATCAGTTTCAGGAGCACAGATCCAAGTGTCCTGGTCACATGTGAAAACATCACATCTGTGTGGTTCAGACATGAAAAGATCAAATACAGAAACATAGAGACAAAACATCTGATTTGGGAAACTTCAGGAGCATCTGAACACAGACTAAGTTTATTGTTGTAACTATTGTTCGTTCATACTCCACATTAGACGTTCATTCCTGTTCTGTGATTTCACTGTTGTTTTTTTTCCCTCCCTAAGTTTAAAAGAGTTGAGTAAATAAAAAAATAGGCTAATGAACCTTTGTGAAAAAAAGACTTTTTGAGGCCTTGATTTAAGAACGTGATATTTAAGACCTTTAAAAGACTTTTAGACCCTGCGGCTGCTCTAGTCTGTCTCTGAACATTTCACTTTTTGACTGGACTCAGGATCATGTTTGACCTGAAGTTTTAAAGTTCCAGAGTCAGAGTTGAACCGTAAACGGCGTCTGTACCTCGTTGGTCTGTTTGCCGCTGAACGACATCTTCTTGATGGCCACCACCTCATTGTTCCGCACGTCTCGAGCCTGAAAAACAAAACACAAAGTTATGAAAAGAAGATTGGAAAATTCTAAAATCATTTTCCACCTGAAAATGTACACAAACTGATTTTAGTAAAATTTTAATCCGTCCTTAAACTCTCAGATCTGATCTAAAGCTACTTGGCCGTAATTATCGCCCCCTACTGCCTGAAACTAAATTGAATATGGAAGAAAAAAATGTTGTTTTTCACAAATTTTGCAGAAAATTCAGTTTCAGCATTTCGATCCAAAAAGTCAACAACAACCCTGTCATATCGTATTTTCTGCACTATAAAGCGCACTTAAAATCCTTTAATTTCATCCAAAATTGAGTGTGCGTTTTATAATCCAGAGCATCTTATATCTGAATTTCTTGGTGTGTCTTGGTGCGACTTTAGTAAACTACAAAGCCGTTCCACTTGCAGCGTTCCGGCTCCCGTTGTCAGGAGCATCAGGAGTAAAACAGACTGTGATTCTTTTAATATCAAAATGCACCTGTCAAGAGAAACACTCACAACGCCCACTTTAAACTCAAGGCTGTTCTAAAGTGAAAGTGCGTTTAGCTGCGTGGGAGCAGTGGAGGAGAGAAGGAGAACACACATTCACCGAGACAGAGAGACAGAGAGACAGAGAGACAGAGAGACAGAGAGACAGAGAGACAGAGAGACAGAGAGACAGAGAGACAGAGAGACAGCGCCAAGACACTTGTGCCACGATCTGCCGACGGATCGTGGACGCTCGGGTCAGGATCAGGATCATCTGTGGTCCGAGTTTTCACCAAGACCAGAATCAAAACTGAACTGAACTCCAGGAAACAGGACTGTAACGGATTATTGACCAAGAGTCGCTCGGGAAGATCAGAGTTGGTCCAGGGGTCGTAGTTTGTGACGCCCCTGGAGGCTGTTGTAAACTAACGCTGGGATCCAGATGCATTTTGTACATTTATGAACAGACACACAGTTCTCCCAGCGCAGAAGAAGAAGAAGATAGAACCAGTTGGAAAATAAAGGGTGAGAATAGAAAAGGAGCGGCGGGCAACAAAAATTACATCTACCCGACCCTGACTCTCAGTCAAAACTGGGTAACAGGTAAGTGTACACTTTTAACACTTTTAAACCCTTCCACAGGTGCACCTGCCCACGCACCTGCCCGTGTGAGCCCCGCCCCCTCTGCACCACACACCCACACCCTCGACCACCCCGTGCACCAGCCGTCTCCTACATGTAACCACACAGACTGGGATGATGACAGAGCGATGTGGACGTCAGAATCAACCAACTGTTTCAACTATTATGATTAATGGTGAATGTGAGAACAGTTTAATGTCTCAGACAGGATTTATTTACTCGTAACAGTTGAACAAAGTTCAGAATTATTGTGAACGTGTTAAATAAAGTTTGACTGACTTATCCAACTGTTGTGTTTCGATTAATGTGCCTTAAAGTCCAGTGCAGTTTATCCATCCATTTTCTTCCTCTTATCCGTCAGTCTGAGCAGGGACTCCCAGACTTCCCTCACCCCAGACACTTCCTCCAGCTCCTCCAGTGGGACCTGAGGTGTTTCCAGTCCAGAGACATCGTCCCTCCAGTGTGTCCTGGGTCTTCCCCGGGGCCTCCTCCCGGTGGGACATGAACACCTCCTGAGGGACACGTCCAGGAGACATCAGAACAGACATCCTCCCCTCAGACGCTCCTCTCCACGTGGAGGAGCAGCGGCTCTACTCCGAGCTCCTCCTGTATGACTGAGCTCCTCACTCTGTCTCTAAGGGAGACGCCCAGACCCCCTGCGGAGGAAACTCATTTCGAGCTCTTGTATCTGTGATCTGGTCCTTTCGGTCACTACCCAGAGCTCATGACCAGAGGTGAGAGGAGGAACGAAGACTGAGTGGAGGAGTCCAGTGCCATTTATATGTGGGAAAAGAAAATAGACCATTCACTGACAGTGCGCCTAATAGTACAGAAAGTACGGTATTTTTTCCAACGTTGCCATAGTGAGGCGAGGTGTACATGCACACAAGGGCTGATCATTGCTGCTTGCGGCTATTAATAATAATAATAATAATAATAATAATATTATTATTATTATTATATTATTAGTGGGAGGGCATTTGGTGTAATTCCACGTCCTGGATTAAACCATGAGACTGGGGTTGAACAGTGAAGCTGGTGGTTGGTGGGAGACGGTCTGTGCCTCCTCAGACGCCGGAGACAGGAGCAGAGACAGGAGCAGAGACAGGAGCAGTGACAGGACAGGAGCAGTGACAGGAGCAGAGACAGGAGCAGAGACAGGAGCAGAGACAGGAGCAGAGACAGGAGCAGAGACAGGAGCAGAGACAGGAGCAGAGCAGACAGGAGCAGGACAGAGAGAGACAGGAGCAGAGACAGGAGCAGAGACAGGAGCAGAGACAGGAGCAGAGACAGGAGCAGAGACAGGAGCAGAGACAGGAGCAGAGACAGGAGCAGAGACAGGAGCAGACAGGAGCAGCGACAGGTGCTCGTCTGAACAGGCCCAGCGGCAGGTGCAGGCAGGTGAAGTGAGAGCAGGTTGTGAAAAACAGAAAAGACTTGGACCTCCAGCTGTGAAGAGTTTATATAACAAGAACATCCAGACCAGGACTAGACCAGGACCAGACCAGGACCAGACCAGGACCAGACCAGGACTAGACCAGGACCAGACCAGGACCAGACCAGGACTAGACCAGGACCAGGACCAGACCAGACCAGGACCAGGACCAGACCAGGACCAGACCAGGACCAGACCAGGACCAGACCAGGACCAGGACCAGACCAGGACCAGACCAGGACCAGACCAGACCAGACCAGACCAGACCAGGACCAGACCAGGACCAGGACCAGACCAGACCAGGACTAGGACCAGACCAGGACCAGACCAGGACCAGACCAGGACTAGACCAGGACCAGACGAGACCAGACCAGGACCAGACAGGACCAGGACCAGGACCAGACCAGACCAGACCAGGACTAGACCAGACCAGGACCAGACCAGACCAGACCAGGACCAGACCAGGACCAGACCAGACCAGACCAGACCAGGACCAGACCAGGACCAGACCAGGACCAGACCAGACTAGACCAGGACAGACCAGACAGACCAGGACCAGGACCAGACCAGGACCAGACCAGGACCAGACCGGACCAGACCGAGACCAAGACCAGGAGACCAGGACCAGACCAGGACCAGGACCAGGACCAGACCAGGACCAGACCAGGACCAGACCAGGACCAGGACCAGGACCAGACCAGGACTAGACCAGGACCAGACCAGGACCAGACCAGGACCAGACCAGGACCAGACCAGGACCAGACCAGGACCAGGACCAGGACCAGGACCAGACCAGGACTAGACCAGGACCAGACCAGGACCAGACCAGGACCAGACCAGGACCAGACCAGGACTAGACCAGGACCAGACCAGGACCTAGACCAGGACCAGACCAGGACCAGACCAGACCAGGACCAGACCAGGACCGACCAGGACCAGAGGACCAGACCAGGACCAGACCAGGACCAGACCAGGACCAGACCAGGACCAGACCAGGACCAGGACCAGGACCAGGACCAGACCAGGACCAGACCAGACCAGGACCAGACCAGGACCAGACCAGACCAAGACCAGGACAGACAGACCAGGACCAGGACCAGGACCAGACGAGACCAGGACCAGACCAGGACCAAGACCAGGACAGACCAGACCAGACAGACAGGACCAGACCAGGACCAGACAGACCAGGACCAGGACCAGGACAGACCAGGACAGACAGACCAGGACCAGACCAGACCAGGACTAGACCAGGACCAGACCAGACCAGACCAGACCAGGACCAGACCAGACCAGACAGACCAGGAGACCAGGACCAGACCAGACCAGGACTAGACCAGGACCAGACCAGGACCAGACCAGGACTAGACCAGGACCAGGACCAGACCAGGACTAAACCAGGACCAGACCCAGGACTAAACCAGGACTAGCCCAGGACTAGACCAGGACCAGACCAGGACTAGACCAGGACCAGACCAGGACTAGACCAGGACTAGACCAGACCAGACAGACCAGGACCAAGACCAGGACTAGGACCAGGACCAGACCAGGGACCAGACCAGGACCAGACCAGGACCAGACCAGGACCAGACAGACCAGGACCAGACCAGGACCAAGACCAGGACTAGACCAGGACCAGACCAGACCAGACCAGACCAGGACCAGACCAGGACCAGACCAGGACTAGACCAGGACTACACCAGGACCAGGACCAGACCAGGACCAGACCAGGACCAGACCAGGACCAGACCAGGACTAGACCAGGACCAGACCAGGACCAGACCAGGACCAGACCAGACCAGACCAGACCAGACCAGGACTAGACCAGGACTAGACCAGGACTACACCAGGACCAGGACCAGACCAGGACTAGACCAGGACTAGACCAGGACCAGGACCAGACCAGGACCAGACCAGGACCAGGACCACCAGACCAGGACCAGACCAGGACCAGACCAGGACTAGACCAGGACTACACCAGGACTACACCAGGACCAGACCAGGACCAGACCAGGACTAGACCAGGACTACACCAGGACCAGGACCAGACCAGGACCAGACCAGGACCAGACCAGGACCAGACCAGGACCAGACCAGGACCAGACCAGGACCAGACGAGACCAGGACGAGACCAGGACTAGACCAGGACCAGACCAGGACCAGACCAGGACTAGAGCAGGACCAGGACTAGACCAGGACCTAGACCAGACCAGGACCCAGACCAGGACCAAGACCAAACCAAGACCAGACCAGGACTAGACCAGGACTAGACCAGGACTAGACCAGGACCAAGACCAGACCCAGGACTAAACCAGGACTAGACCAGGACCAGACCATGACTAGACCAGGACCAGACCAGGACCTAGACCAGGACTAGACCTAGACCAGAACTAAAATCAGGATCAGGACTAAACCACGACTAGAACTAAACCAGGACTACACCAGGACTAAACCAGGTCTAAAACACAGACTAAACCAGGACTAAACCAGTTCCAGCTCCTTACGAAGTAGACGGCGCCGAAGCTCCCGTGTCCGATCTCTCGGAGGTCGGAGAAAAGTTTTTCTGGATCATCTTTACAGAAGAGCTCTGCCACATCAGGGTCCTTCAGGTTCCCCGCGCGGGCATTCGAGGGCATGGCCAGGGCCTGCGGGCACAGAGACAGAGACACAGAGACAGAGGTCAGGGCCTGCGGGCACAGAGACAGAGACACAGAGACAGAGGTCAGGGCCTGCGGGCACAGAGACAGAGACACAGAGACAGAGGTCAGGGCCTGCGGGCACAGAGACAGAGACACAGAGACAGAGGTCAGGGCCTGCGGGCACAGAGACAGAGACACAGAGACAGAGGTCAGGGCCTGCGGGCACAGAGACAGAGACAGAGGTCAGGGCCTGCGGGCACAGAGACAGAGAGACAGAGACAGAGGTCAGGGCCTGCGGGCACAGAGACACAGAGACAGACACAGAGGCCAGGGCCTGCGGGCACAGAGACAGAGACAGAGACAGAGGTCAGGGCCTGCGGGCACAGAGACACAGACACAGAGACAGAGGTCAGGGCCTGCGGGCACAGAGACAGAGACACAGAGGTCAGGGCCTGCGGGCACAGAGACACAGAGACAGAGGTCAGGGCCTGCGGGCACAGAGACACACAGAGACAGAGGTCAGGGCCTGCGGGCACAGAGACACACAGAGACAGAGGTCAGGGCCTGCGGGCACAGAGACAGAGACAGGGCACAGAGACACAGACAGAGGTCAGGGCCTGCGGGCACAGAGACACAGAGACAGAGGTCAGGGCCTGCGGGCACAGAGACACAGAGACACAGAGACAGAGGTCAGGGCCTGCGGGCACAGAGACAGACAGGTTAGATATCACTAAAGAAAAGAGAGAGAGTGGGTACAGAGTGGGCACAGATCGGGCACAGAGTGGACACAGAGCGAGTACAGAGTGTGTACAGAGTGGGGGCACAGAGAGAAAAGTTTAATGTTTTGTCCCTGATTCCAGATTTGAACTTTAAGATCAGACCAATCAGACGCCTTCTTTCCCCGAGGCCCCTCCCACTAACGTTAGCAACAGGTTTGATTGACAGCGTTGCTAAGGGAGGGGGCGTTACCTTCAGCAGCCTCGCTCCTGATTGGCTCTTTGGTTGCTATGACACTCGTACCTGTGACCTGGACGAGCTTCATTTGGATATTTGTCGATACGATATTTGTCCAAATCGGCCGATAATCATAATGATAAGTGAGTGGGTTTATCGGTTTGGTCCCGGACGATACGAGACGTGGAGCAGATCCAGACTAAAGACTCTGAGGGACTATTTCAGTCTCAACTATAATGTGTTAAACTCACTGGAAACACTGACCCACTTCTACAAACCAGGACTAAACCAGGACTAAACCAGGACTAAACCAGGACTAAACCAGGACTAAACCTGGACTAAACCAGGGACTAAACCAGGACTAATCCAGGGACTAAACCTGGACTAAACCAGGACTAAACCAGGGACTAAACCTAGGACTAAACCAGGACTAAACCAGGGACTAAACCTGGACTAAACCAGGACTAATCCAGGGACTAAACCTGGACTAAACCAGGACTAAACCAGGACTAAACCAGGGACTAAACTAGGACTAAACCAGGGACTAAACCAGGACTAAACCAGGGACTAAACCTGGACTAAACCAGGACTAAACCAGGGACTAAATCTGGACTAAATCTGGACTAAACCAGGACTAAATCTGGACTAAACCAGGACTGTCCTGTGTTTCATATTAAAGTGTTTTGTTTGAGTCACACTCTGAAGTGTCCGAGTCTCACACTGGATTTAGAAACAACATCACAGCTCCAGAGTCTAGACCAGGACCAAGACCAAGACCAGGACCAAGACCAACATCACAGCTCCAGAGTCCAGACCAGGACCAAGACCAGGACCAGGACCAAGACCAGGACCAACATCACAGCTCCAGAGTCCAGACCAAGACCAGGACCAAGACCAACATCACAGCTCCAGAGTCCAGACCAAGACCAGGACCAAGACCAGTACCAGGACCAAGACCAACATCACAGCTCCAGAGTCCAGATCAAGACCAGGACCAAGACCAACATCACAGCTCCAGAGTCCAGACCAAGACCAGGACCAGGACCAAGACCAAGACCAGGACCAGGACCAGGACCAGGACCAAGACTAAGACCAGGACCAACATCACAGCTCCATACAGTCCAAGACCAAGACCAGGACTGAGACCGGACCAGAGACCAGAGACCAGACCAGAGACCGAGTAAAACACATCTATGACGAAAAGTTCCACAGTGGAGCTTTAACCCTGTTCAGAAACATCCCTGGAGCTGTGTGAACCAGGACTAAACCAGGACTAAACCAGGTCTAGACCAGGACTAAACCAGGTCTAAACCAGGTCTAAACCAGGACTAAACCAGGTCTAGACCAGAGTTAGAGTCTGTGTTTCAGTCTCTGAGTTTATTAAGATGAAAGAACAAAAAAAAAAAGGCGAAAAGGAGAAAGTCAAAAAAAATTGGACCAAATCTGCAGCATCCAAAAATAGAATCAAGAAACAGACCTGAAGACAACAGATAAAGCTCCACTGCGGGACATTTCCTCAATAAACCAGGACTAAGCCAGGACCAAACCAGGACCGAACCAGGGACTAAACCAGGACCAAACCAGGGACTAAACCAGGACCAAACCAGGGACTAAACCAGGGACTAAACCGGAACCAAACCAGGACTAAACCAGGGACCAAACCAAGACCAAACCGGGACTAAACCAGGACTAAACCAGGGACTAAAACAAGACTAAAACAACCAGGGACTAAACCCGGTCTGGTTGTGGGTCAGACTCAGGTCAGACTCAGGTTCTGGCTGCGGGTCAGACTCGGGTCCTGGCTGCGGGTCAGACTCAGGTCCTGGCTGCAGGTCAGACTCAGGTCCTGGCTGCAGGTCAGACTCAGGTCCTGGCTGCAGGTCAGACTCAGGTCCTGGCTGCAGGTCAGACTCAGGTCCTGGCTCGGGTCCTGGAGTATTGAGGTCAGCGAGTGTCGGTTTAAATAGTCTGTCCTACATTCCCCATAATCCTCTGCTTCCTGGAGCCTCTCGTTTATTTGAACCAAACACACGAGGAAAGATTTAAACACGACGGATCCACGAGAGGAAAGAGAAAAGAGAAAAGTGAAAAGAGAAAAGTGAAAAGTGAAAAGTGAAAAGAGAAAAGAGAAAAGAGAAAAGTGAAAAGAGAAAAGTGAAAAGTGAAAAGTGTCGCTCGGCTCAAAAACACCAAGGATTTTACTCTAAACACAAATGTTCAACAAAAAAATTGTCGAGTCTCTGAAACACAAAAACTGAGATTTAATCCACTGTTCTACTGTTGTTGTTGTTGTTTGTTGTGTTGTTGTTGTATGTTGTTGTTGTTGTGTGTGTTGTTGTTGTGCTGTTGTTGTTGTGTTGTTGTGTTGTTTGTTGTTGTTGTGCTGTTCTGTTGTTGTGTTGTTGTTGTGTTGTTGTTGTTGTTGTGTTGTTGTATTGTGTTGTTGTTGTGTTGTTGTTGTATTGTTGTTGTTGTTCTGTTGTGTTGTGTTGTTGTTGTTGTTGTTGTTGTGTTGTTGTTGTTGTTGTTGTTGTTGTTGTGGTGTTGTTGTTGTGGTGTTGTTGTTGTTGTGGTATTGTTGTTGTTGTTGTTGTTGTTGTTGTATTGTTCTTGTGGTGTTGTGTTGTTGTGCTGTTGTTGTGTTGTGTTGTTGTTGTTGTGGTGTTGTTGTTTGTTGTGTTGTTGTGGTCACACTCAGAGCTGCAGTTGTGTTTGTTTGTTTCTTTATTCTGAATCTGTTACATCTGCAAATCTTCAAACGCTCTGCTCCACCTCGTGATGTCATCAAGTGGTCGTTCTCGATAGTGAACAGGTCCTTTTTTCTTTAGTTCAGGACAGATTGGTAATTGCAGGACCAAGACCAGAGACCAGAGACCAGAGACCAAACAAGCTCTATGAGGAAATGTTCCGCAGTGAAGCTTTAAACCGTGTTCAGAAACATCCCTGGAGCTGCATCTCAGTGAAACTAAAGATGGTCTAATGATCTAAAGATCTGTTCCACCTGAGACTAAACCGGGACTAAACCAGGGACAAAAAAGGGACTAAACCAGGAGCAAACCAGGGACTAAACCAGGTCTAAACCAGGACTAAACCAGGAATTAAACCAGGTCTAAACCAGGGACTAAACCAGGGACTAAACCAGGGACTAAACCAGGTCTAAAACCAGGACCAAACTAGGAATTAAACCAGGTCTAAACCAGGACCAAATCAGGTCTAAAAGCAGGTCTAAACCAGGACAAATGACAATTTCTGATCCTCTTTACTGTTGGCAGGAATCAGATTAGTCAAAATCTGTGAAAGTCCTGGTTTTGGTCCTGGTTTTGGTCCTGGTTTTGGTCCTGGTTTAGACCTTTATATAAAACTGGGACATATCAGTGGTTTAGTGTAAATCTCTGGGGACGGGGGGACGGGGGGGACACAGACTCAGGACTGGGACTGTCCCGGGGAAACAGGAACATGAGGACAGATCAGACGTCAACACAATAATCATAAAGAAACACTTCCTCAAACGTGTGAACGAAACAAACACAAACCACAAAAAACACAAAAACCACAGCTCTGAGTGAGACCGGGAACAACGGAACAACAAAACCGGACTTAAAAATCAGGGGTCGGTTCTGTGAATTAAAAAAGATCTAATCTGACTCTAAAAAGATCTAATCTTAATCTCACATATTTAAATTGTTTTAAATCTGCACATTCTGGGTCACGACACAAACCAAAGATTATGATAAAACTACAACACATTTACAACATTTTAACACAACTGTGGGTTTAAACCAGGTCTAAACCAGGACCAAACCAGGTCTAAACCAGGACCAAAGACAATTTCTGCTCCTCTTTACAGTTGGCAGGAATCAGATTAGTCAAAACCTGGTCTAGTCCTGGTCTAGTCCTGGTCTAGTCCTGGTCTAGTCCTGGTCTTAGTCCTGGGTCCTGGTCTTGTCCTGGTCTTGTCCTGGTCTAGTCCTGGTTTAGACCTGATGTAGTCCTGATGTTGTCCTGGTTTGGTCTTAGTTTAGTCCTGGTTTAGACCTGATGTAGTCCTAATTTCGTCCTGGTTTAGTCCAGATTGGTCCAAATCAGTGCCATCTGGGGCGTTATTTGTCTAAATTGGGTTAAATCGTTGGTTTTGTTAAAATCTTTCGGGTCAGATTTACACAAACGCTCCGTGAACGTGACTTATCCGCCGCGTTCACATTAGAGACGCTTCATTTGTCCCATTAACTCAAAGTGGGACAGTGAATCTGGGACAGGGACAAAGCGCCGCAGCTCCGCCCGGCGTGACCCGGGACGAGCTCCCCCGGCCCGAGCGGCCCCCGGCCCAGCGGCCCCCGCCCGGGCACAGCGGCCCCCGGCCCGGGCACAGCGGCCCGGGCCCGGGCACAGCGGCCCCGGCCCCGGGCACAGCGGCCGAACTCACCGCGGCTTAATGTGGATCCCAAAAACAAGAGTTAGCCTCGGAGCTAACGGGTCCCGATCCGCCGCCTCCCCCGGTCCTCCTGCAGCTCTCAGTCCGCACACGGCGTCCACATGTCCCCTCGCTCCCGCTCCGTCTCCCCGGACACCAGCCCCGGTCCAGACCCGGTCCCGGTCCCGGCGCAGCCCCGCGGTCCCGCCGGGTTTCAGCGCGCGCGGCGGGGCTCGGAGCGCGGCTCGGAGGCGGCGGCGTTAGCCTGACTTAGCCGCGCTGCTAACGGGGACATTCGCCTCGTTTCTGGGTGTGGCTCCGGTTCGCCCGCGGCTCCAGCTCCTCACGGCTCCCGGTACCGGAGAAAGGACGCGAGGAACAAGTCCGGTCCGGTTCGGAAGCGCGGCGCTGGGCTCTGGAGGCGGAATGGACGCGTTTTAGCCGCGTTTTGTTCGAGCCAAAAACAAGATGGACCAGAGCGACACCGGAAGCAGCGCGGCCCGTTTCCGGTCCACAGTAAAACAAACCGCAGCGGAATCCGAAAAATAAAATCTGAAAAAATAATAATTTACAGTTTATTTCAGTCACTTTGGAACATTTCCTCAAACGTTTCATGAATCAGGCAAATCAGCAAAAACACAAAATAATTAAGAATATTTGAAAAACTAAACATAAATAAACTTTTGTAACATCCGCAGATACCGGCAGGAGAATTATTTATTTATTTATTTATACATTTATTTATACATTTATTTATTTATTTATACTTATTTATACATTCATTGATTTATTGATTTATTTGTGGTCTCGGTCCGGTGACAGGGGCGGCAGGTGACACTGACAGGAGCCATGAAGCAGCAGCGCCCACTGCCCCGGACCAGCAGAGGGCGCTGCCCGAACACACGTACAAACACCTCACACAGGTGCTCCCTGACACTACGGCCCTGACAGGTGCTCCCTGACACTACGGCCCTGACAGGTGCTCCCTGACACTACGGCCCTGACAGGTGCTCCCTGACACTACGGCCCTGACAGGTGCTCCCTGACACTACGGTCCTGACAGGTGCTCCCTGACACTACGGTCCTGACAGGTGCTCCCTGACACTACGGTCCTGACAGGTGCTCCCTGACACTCCGGCCCTGACAGGTGCTCCCTGACACTACGGCCCTGACAGGTGCTCCCTGACACAACAGCTCTGACAGGTGCTCCCTGACACTACGGCCTTGACAGGTAACAGACAGGTGCACCCTGACACTACAGCCCTGACAGGTGCTCCCTGACACTACAACTCTGACAGGTGCTCCCTGACACTACAGCTCTGACAGGTGCTCCCTGACACTCCGGCCCTGACAGGTGACAGGTGCTGCACCCCCTCACAGAGACAGGTGAGGCCCTGCTGTTTTGACAGCAGCACTTCTGTGGATGTTTATAATGGAGTTTAAAGGTTCTAAACAGAGATGACCTGAAGGACCAGAGGGACCTGAAGAACCTGAGGGACCTGAAGGACCTGAGGGACCAGAGGGACCTGAAGGACCTGAGGGACCTGAAGGACCTGAGGGACCTGAAGGACCTGAGGGACCAGAGGGACCTGAAGGACCTGAGGGACCTGAAGGATCTGAAGGACCTGAGGGACCTGAAGGACCTGAGGGACCTGAGTTTTGTTCGTCCTGTGAGCCTTTTGGAATTTGTGCCAAAATTTAAACTTTCACGTCAAAGCAAAAAAACAAACAAACTGTGACCTGTTTGATAAGAATAGTTCAGAAGAAACGACAGAAGAAGAAGAAGAAGAAGAAGAAGAAGAAGAAGAAGAGAGACACTTTCACACGACGAGTCTGAGAGAAACTCTGTCCTCCTCTCCCTGTCTCTGTGTCAGGTGCCCTCCCCTGTCCCTGTCTCTGTGTCAGGTGCCCTCCCCTGTCCCTGTCTCTGTGTCAGGTGCGCTCCCTGTCCCTGTCTCTGTGTCAGGTGCCCTCCCCTGTCCCTGTCTCTGTGTCAGGTGCCCTCCCCTGTCCCTGTCTCTGTGTCAGGTGCGCTCCCGTCCTCCTGTCTCTGTGTCAGGTGCCTCCCCTGTCCTGTCCTGTCAGGTGCTCCCGTCTCCTGTCTCTGTGTCAGGTGCCCTCCCTGTCCTGTCTGTGTGTCAGGTGCCTCCCCTGCCCCTGTCTCTGTGTCAGGTGCTCCCTGCCCTGTCTCTGTGTCAGGTGCCCTCCCTGTCTCCTGTCTCTGTGTCAGGTGCCCTCCCCTGTCCCTGTCTCTGTGTCAGGTGCGCTCCCCTCTGTGCGCTCCCGTCCTCCTGTCTCTGTGTCAGGTGCCCTCCCCTGCCCCTGTCTCTGTGTCAGGTGCGCTCCCCTGCCCCTGTCTCTGTGTCAGGTGCGCTCCCGTCCCCTGTCTCTGTGTCAGTGCGCTCCGTCCTCCTGTCTCTGCGTCAGGTGCCCTCCCTGTCCCCTGTCTCTGTGTCAGGTGCGCTCCCGTCCTCCTGTCTCTGTGTCAGGTGCCCTCCCCTGTCCCTGTCTCTGTGTCAGGTGCGCTCCCGTCCTCCTGTCTCTGTGTCAGGTGCGCTCCCGTCCTCCTGTCTCTGTGTCAGGTGCGCTCCCGTCCTCCTGTCTCTGTGTCAGGTGCCCTCCCCTGCCCCTGTCTCTGTGTCAGGTGCGCTCCTGTCCTCCTCTTGGGTAAAATATACAGATTATTCTGAAATGAAAACTATAAAATAAAGATTCGACAGAAACAGATAAATTCCAAATTCTCGTGGGTTTTGAGTCTGAGTCTGAGTCTGAGTCTGGTCTGGGTCTGGGTCTGAGTCTGGGTCTGGGTCTGAGTCTGAGTCTGGGTCTGAGTCTGAGTCTGGGTCTGAGTCTGAGTCTGGGTCTGGGTCTGGGTCTGAGTCTGAGTCTGAGTCTGGGTCTGAGTCTGGGTCTGAGTCTGGGTCTGGGTCTGAGTCTGGTCTGGGTCTGAGTCTGAGTCTGGGGTCTGAGGTCTGGGTCTGAGTCTGGGTCTGAGTCTGGGTCTGAGTCTGGGTCTGAGTCTGGGGTCTGGGTTGAGTCTGGGTCTGGGTCTGGGTCTGAGTCTGGGTCTGGGTCTGGGTCTGGGTCTGAGTCTGGGTCTGGGTCTGGGTCTGGGTCTGAGTCTGTCCCTCGAGCTCCTGCAGGTCCCACGTGTGTCCACAAGGTGTCAGCGCAGACCACAGAGACACAGAGACACAGACACACAGAGACACAGACACACAGAGACACACAGAGACACACACACCACAGACACACAGACACACAGAGACAGAGACACAGAGACACACAGAGAGACACACAGACACACAGACACACAGACACAGAGACACACAGACACAGACAGAGACACAGAGACACACACAGAGACACAGACACACAGACAGAGACACAGAGACACACACAGAGACACAGAAGACACACACACAGGACACACAGACACACACAGACACACAGAGACACAGCACACAGAGCACACAGACACAGAGAGACACACACAGAGACACAGACACAGACACACAGAGACACACAGACACACAGAGACAACACAGACACACAGAGACAGAGACAGAGACACACAGAGACACACAGAGACACACAGACACACAGAACACACAGACACACAGCAGACCACAGAGCGAGACCACAGAGACACAGAGACACAAACACAGAGACACAGAGACACAGAGACACAGAGACACAGAGACACACAGACACAGAGACAGAGGTTACAGTCCAGAACACAGAGCAGTTAACACAAGTGCAGACACTGACTGTATATTTCTATTTCTCAGAGTCCAGATGTTTCTCCAGACCAGAGTCTCGGTCTGGACCAGACCAGAGTCTCGGTCTGGACCAGACCAGAGTCTCGGTCTGGACCAGACCAGAGTCTCGGTCTGGACCAGACCAGAGTCTCGGTCTGGACTGAGGCTCCTGACACAGTCCAGCTCAGAGCTGCAGGGAAACAAACATGAACCACAGAACCAAGAGGAGCCACACTCACAGAAACATCTGAGCAGAGGACGAGCTGGAGACCACAAGGTCAAGGTCAAACACCTCCAGAGGTCGTGGAGAAAGACCGAGCCAAGATCCCGTGGGACTTCAGATCCAGACGGACAGGACGGAGATGAACCAACCAGACAGAGTGGAGCTGGAGAAGAACAGAGCAGAGCCGTGGTGGAACATCACAACACCAAGAGATGGAAACATCAGGAGAGAAGAAGACGAGACACCAGAGAAACACCAGAGAGAGAAACACCAGAGAAACACCAGAGAAACACCAGAGGCTGAAGGAGGAGCTGCAGAAGGTCTGAAGGTGAAGCACCAGTGGAGCTCGTGGTGATCGGACACTCGGAGCTGTGACCCCTGACCTGGAAAAACAACAGAACATCTCAGTCCAGAAAAGAGCAGAACCCTGAAGCTCCAGGCCTCAGGTCCACGACCCGAACTGATGAAGAGGAGCCACGAGTCCTGAGGAAGATGAAGAACAAGTGTGTGTTTATAAAGAGACAAATGTGACGAGAACAAGAACAAACAAACAAACAAACAAACAAAAACAAACAACAAACAAACAAACAAACAAATAAACAAACAAACAAACAAATAAACAAACAGACAAACAAACAAATAAACAAACAAACAAACAAACAAGACAAACAAACAAATAAACAAACAGACAAACAAAAAACAAACAAACAACAAACAAACAAACAAACAAATAAATAAATAAACAAACAACAAAAAAAGAGACTAAAAATACACTGCACCTGTCCCCTGCACCTGTCAGTGTCCCTGTCACCTGTCAGTGTCCCTGTCTGTGTTTGTGTTTGGGGATTTTCCACTGCAGAGAATCTTAAACACAGAGTCATAACACAAATATGTAAAACCAATAAAATACAAACACACACACACACAACACACACACACACACACACACACACACACACACACACACACACACACATATGTCACACACACACACACACACATATGTCACACACACACACACACACACATGTCACACACACACACACATACACACACACACACGTACACACACACACACCACACACACAACACACACACACACACATGTCACACACACACACACACACACACACACACACACATATGTACACACACACACACACACACACACACACACACACACACACACATGTCACACACACACACACACACACACACACACACACACACACACACATGACACACACACACATACACACACACACACACACACACACACATAACACACACACACACACACACACATATGTCACACACACACACACACACACACATGTACACACATGACACACACACACACACACATCACACACACACACACACACACACACACACATGTCACACACACACACACACACACACACACACATGTCACACACACACACACACTACACACACACACATATGTCACACACACACACACACACATATGTCACACACACACACACACACACACACATATGTCACA